ACTAGGAATAGTGTTACAATAGAAAAGTATTAGCCTTTTCTCCTGGTCAACTTCTAACTTATACAATGGAAACGTTAAGATCAATACTTAGTCGAATGATTTAGAAAGTTCACATGATGGATTTATGTTGAGCGATTCTCTTATAATGATGAAAACTCAAATTTGTCTACGATTTCTTAATGTTTCTGTTATAATATATAGATGATTCGAGTTAAGCCGACTAATTTTACTAACGTATAAATAAATAAATAAATAATTTTTTTTTACTAACGTATAAATTTGTTAGGTATACAGTTACATCATGTCAAAACATTTAAGCTAAATTTTATGATAACCTGGCTCAAAAATATCAAAATTCTTTCAAGCGATAATCAAATCCATAAAGAGCGAGTTTTAATTAACTGTGACAACATTTTTTTTTAATTAACTTGTTAAGTCATAAATATATTTATTTATCGTGTGCAAACATTTGTTTGGTTGGTCATGGTCATAGTCAAACAGCTTAAACCGTAAGGACTCATCTCATGCCGTCGACTATACAAAACTCTACTTAATTAAAAATTGATCTTAAATTGAATAGTATAGTTATAACTGGTCAACTTTAATGTCTTTCCTTTGTAAGTTTATAGTATAGTAAGTTACTACACACTAATAATGATGGGAATTATAACGACATGGCTCAGCATTTTCATAATGCGTTGTTTGAATCTATATATCACAAATGACCTAAAACTTGGGGTCAAATGCAAAAGTAACCCATTTTTTTCCATTTTTCATATTTTGCCACTTTCTCACAAATATATCCCTACCATCTTCACATATTCACGAAAATGCCATTATATTCTTTTTTTTTTAAATTCTGAAATTAGCAAAAAGACACAAAAACCAAAAGATCTCAACATATTTACCAAAATGTCATCTTTTTCAATATTTTCAACCACCATGAACAATCAATTTGAAACTCTAAATGCTTCTCCAACCGATTTTTGACTTTAAATACTGAATATTTGAGCTCATAACCTCTTAATCTTTCATTTACTATTCAATTTCATCCAAAAATCTCTATTATTTTCATTTTCAAAATTCTTTCTCTTATAACCTAACGAATTTCAATAGTTCTTGCAGAACGACGTTTGGACTACTTCAATACCGGTGAGATTCAAAGTTTCAGGTGGTTGACAAAGCTAAAAACGAGCTTGCACGGCGAAAAAGGTATATTTACTTGATTTTAGCCTGTTTTCAGATCTGTTTCGCGAAAGTAGACTTCTTTTGAAATCTACTAGTCAACAGAGATGTTAGTTTTGCAATTGACCATTTTTGAAAATATCCAAAGTAGACTTCATATGAAGTCTGTGCGTTTTCCTTTAGAAACAAAAAAAAAACGTTTGTAGACTTCATATGAAGTCTTCTTGAAATGAGGTTAGTTTTGCATTTGACCAAAACTTTGACTTTTTAGAGCATACTTCACATGAAGTCTACGGCCTGTAGATACCATATGAAGTCTACTCTGTCGAAAGTTGAGGTCAATTTTGCATTTGACTGAACTTTGACTTTTTATAGTAGACTTCAAAAGAAGTCTACATTGAGAAAATAGGTTAGTTTTGTGTTTGACTAAAATCTGAAAAATTTGACCATGGATAAATATCTATGTAGACTGCAAAAGAAGTCTACTTATGAAGTAGACTTCTTTTGCAGTCTTCTATTTAATTAAATCGATATTTTGGTCAAACACAAAACTAACCTCTTTTTTCATAGTAGACTTCTTTTGCAGTCTACAAGGATAGTCAAACTTTAGTCAATTGCAAATATAACCTAACACGTCAGACGAAGTCTACACACGAAGTCTACTTTTGATTGTAGACTGCAAAAGAAGTCTACTTTGAAAAATGATTTTCCGCGTATTTGTGTAGACTGCAAAAGAAGTCTACACCAAAAAGTCAAACTATGGTCAATTGCAAAACTAACCTAAATGCTTTTGTAGACTGAAAATGAAGTCTACACTTATAAAGTCAAAGTTTTGGTCAATTGCAAAAAGTAACCCAAATTGTTGTGTAGACTGCAAAAGAAGTCTACATGAATATGCCTTAATTGCAAAACTAACCCGACAGGTCACACGAAGTCTACACACGAAGTGTACGTAGTGGAGACTTCTTTTGTAGTCTACATTTGCGATTTCACTAATAATTTGTTTATAATTCATTAGTAATGAATTTTGTGGGTTTTGTTTTTTCTAAATGCGTGTTAATTATGCTATTTTTATGTCTAAAAATTTGATATACATATGTATAATAAATATTTTATAAATTAATTTTCTTGTTTGATTGGTATCTAACTCATATATGTAGACTTCTGAAGAAGCCTGCTAGATGTAGACTTCTTTTGTAGTCTATATTTATGATTCCACTAATAATGCATTTATAGTTCATTAGTAATGAATTTTGAGGTTTTTGTTTTTTTCTAAATGTGTGTTAATTATGGTGTTTTTATTTGTATAAGTTTGACATGTATATGTGTAATAGATAATCTTTAACTTAATTTTCTTGTTTGATTATCATATATGTAGACTGCATCCGCAGTCTACTTTCTGTAGACTTCTTTTGTTGTCTACTATGATTAGTTCACTAATAATGCATTTATAATTCATTATTAATGAATTTTAAGGTTTTTATTTTTTCTAAATGTGTGTTAATTATGGTTTTTT